AGCCCCTCTTCTCTCACAAGCCTTGTATCGCAGCCAAAGCAGGAGGCTGTTAGTTGGCTGGGAAACAGGACAGGCAGGGAGGAAGGGAGATTGCTCAGTCTGTAGCCTTACTATTTTCATCTTTACCCAGGCACAGAGCAGGGCTGGGCCAGCCCTGTCCAGTAGAACAACTGGACAATAATGAAAGTGTCCAATAACTACGTGGTAGCCACCACCTCCGGTCATGACAGATGGAGCGTTTGAAATGTAGCTAGAGCAACTGAGAACTCAAATTTTAATTTTGCTTCATATTTATTAGTTGACAAAGCCACAGCAGTTTCTGGCTGTTCTACTGGAACCATGAACTTAGAACAAAGAGAAATCCTGGAGAGAAGGAGATTGTACCTACCCTTACTCTGTTCATCTCCCTTCTTCCTTTTGTCTCTCTACAAGGTGATCATGTCTCGAGGTAAAGACATGCATGTTGGAGCTGGGAAGGTGGCTCAGTGGTAGAGCGCTTGCCTTGCATGCATGAGGCCCTGGGTTCGATTCCTCAGCACCACATAAGCAAAAAAAAAAGAAAAAAAAGCCAGAAGTGGCGCTGTGGCTCAAGTGGTAGAGCGCTAGCCTTGAGCTGAAGAGCTGAGGGACAGCGCCCAGGCCCAGAGTTCAGGCCCCACGACTGGGCCCCCCCCCAAAAAAATGACATGCATGTAATGGCCTCTCGAAGCATCCACTGAGCCTTAATATTTCACACACACACACACACACACACACACACACACTTGTATTGCAAAAATGCTTCTAGACCCATTTCTCTTTGCCTTTTGGTCATATAAGAAGTTTAAATCCAGCCAGGCACTGGTGGCTCATGCCCGTAATCCTAGGAGGGTGAGATCTGAGGATCACAATTCAAAGCCAGCCTGGGCAGGAAAGACCATGAGACTCTTATCTCCAATTAACCACCAGAAAACTAGAGGTAGAGCTGTGGCTCAAAGTGGTAGAGCACTAGCCTTGAGTGAAAGAGCTTAAAACTCAGTGCTCCTGAGTTCAAGCTCCACAACCAGCAAAAAAAAAGGGGGGGGGTTAAATCCACTGGGCACCAGTGGCTCACATCTGTAATCCTAGCTACTCAGGAGGCTGAGATCTGAGGATTTGGGTTCAAAGCCAAATCTCTTACCTCTAATTAAGCACCAAAAAAGCTGGAAGTGGAACTGTGGCTCAAGTGGTAGAGCACTGGCTTTGAGCAACAAAGTTCAAGGACAGTGCCCAGGCCCTGAGTTCAAATCCCAGGACTGACATAGCAAAAAAGAATAAGAAAAGCAATGGTTAAATCTATAGAGGGAAGTAGAATGAGAGAGGGAGCCCAGCTCTCCTTTTCATTACTCCTGGGGTAATCCTCATCATCTGGCTAGAAGAGACTAGAGAGCCAAACATGGCAGTGCAGGCCTGTAACTCTAGCACTCAGACTGCTAAGGCAGGAGGATCACAAGTTCTAGGCCAGCCTGCACTACGTAAGGAAACTCGGAAGGAAGGAAGGAAGGAAGGAAGGAAGGAAGGAAGGAAGGAAGGAAGGAAAGGAGGGAGGGAGGGAGGGAGGGAGGAAAAGGAAGAAGGAAGGAGAAAACAAGCACAGTGCTTTTATGGATGCCTCTAGACTCATGCTAAGTGTTCCATATTTCCTGTCTTCTAAAGAGTCTCCTCAGAAGCTAGAGAGAGTGGGATTGGGGACATGTCTCCCTCCCTAAGTCATTTTCTCCCTACAGAATAAAGAAGCATCAGGGGGCTGGGAATGTGGCTTAGAGGTAGAGTGCTTGCTTAGCATGCATGAAACCCTGGATTTGATTCCTCAATACCACATAAACAGAAAAAGCCAGAAGTGGTGTCGTGGTTCCAGTGGTAGAGCACTAGCCTTGAGCACAGAGAGGCTCAGGGACAGAGCCCAGGCCCTGAGCTCAAACCTCAGCAAAGAGAAACAGCAGGATTTTATACCCAAATGAGCTCTGCCCCCCTCTCTAGCCCCTGTACCTGCTTCTTCTTCTCTCCCCATACAGTTCTCATTTGTCCATCTCCCTGACTCTAAATGTGTACTGAAGACATTTAAGAAGAGGGACAGTAGGAGTGGGTGGCATCCAAACATCAGACTTTGCCATTGGCTTTAGTTCCTCAAAATGAGTGCAGGTTGTGCAGGCCCCAGTGTCCTCCGCCATCTACTGGCCATCTGGAGGTATTGACCTACTTGTCAAAGAGTTTCCAGAACCCACTATCCAGGGCAGTCTTCACCAAGAAGTCCTCCATGGTATCCCTTCCATAACCTCAGTTCATTTTCTCTTGGTAAAATAGCTCAGGGATACTCGTGTCCTCGTACTGCACCTAAAACTTAAGCACGTCCAAAATTGAAAGCCTATTTATGATTCGGCCACAAAGTAGCTGAGTAGGGTAAGCTGGCTCTGGTATTCCAGCCTTGGCTTGCTTGCCAGCCCTTTAATCTTCATGGCTTTCCACTGGCTGCCGGCCAAGTTTCCACTGTCTCTCTGGAGCCTACAGGTGACCACAAGACCCTGATTAGTATCTTTGATACTCGACTCTCCTAAGTAATAGGTCCCATGGGGTTAAGTGGCAGGAAAAAACCAGGAGGGACATCAACACTTTAAGCCTGCCTTTCAGAAGCAGTCAAAGGGGATGCATAGAGAGGGGGCAAGGGGAAAGGGCACCCCCAGAAGCCCTGTCTCGGTGAAGCTCAGGGTTTCCAAAAGCCTTCTAAGTTCTTTGAAGAAAGATACCAGAATTACATTTTGTTTTATAGTATCATCATTGCTTTGCTCCAATGCAATACCTGAACACTTTGAAAGAAAAGATCAAGAGCTGGGGGCCCCGAGGGGGTGGAGGGAAATGGGGACTTACTCCTGTAATCCTAGCTATTCAGGAAGCTGAGACCTGAAGCTTGAGGTTCAAAGCCAGCCAGAGCAAAACAGTTCATGAGACTCTTATCTCCAATTAACCAGAATGTGTGCGCGAGTGCGCACGCACACACACACACACACACACACACAAATCAAAACGAGAGCTATAGCTCAAGTGGTAGAGTGCCAGCCTTGAGTGGAAAAGGCCAAAGAGAGAAGGAGGGGCCCTAAATTCAATCCCTAGTACAGGCAGAGAAAGAAGGAAGGAAGGAAGGAAGGGAAGGAAGAAGAGGAAAGGAGGGAAGAGAAGAAAAGAGGCCAAGAGAGATCCAAATAACTTTTCCCAAGGAACTTCTTAGAAAAAAAACCTAAGATGAAGGGTCTTGATACAGAAAGGCTGTGAGCACCATGCTTCCATGGCCACCAAGCCCCAAACAAAAGAACAAACTGGAGGATGGTACCTTCTCACCCACCCACCCACCAAGACAAAATAATAATAATAATAGGTAGCTGCAGAAGGGAGGGATGACACACCCATCCCAGACATCTTTAAGAACCAGGAAGTAAACCATTGATTGGTCCTCCCCATAGCTCCACCATCTTCCTCTCCAGTAATTACTTCTCCTCCTCTCCTGTGAGTAAACACCCAAGTCTACCAACCTCCAGGATCACTTCAAAGCTTTGACTCAACCAGGTCTTCTCATCACCCGTCATCTTGACCAGTTTTGGCCATGTCTCTAAAGGCCTCACCTAACACATGCCTGAACTGCCTCTGGGATAACCACTCAGAACTGGGACTCTGAAACTGCTCAGTAACAGAGTGTTCGCCTAAAGCTCCCAAATGTGCGATATCCTTCCATGCCCCTGCCCCCAATTCTTCCCCCTTCTTCCATTTTCTCATCCTAGAGGCCTCCTATCACAATTGCTGGGTATCCCAAGATAATGGAACTGAAATTTCATTTCACCTCATTTAGTAATGGGCGGGGGAGAGAAGGGGACACCCAAAGCCCATTTGCTTTTTGGGAAAAATCAGTGGATATACCTCAGTGGTAGGGCAACTGCCTATCATGTGCAGGGCCCTAGTTTCAATCCCCAGCACTGACTACACTTTATCTCTCTCCCTCTCTCCCTCCCCCCCTCTCTTTCTCTCTCTGTCTCTCTCGCTCACCTGTCTCCACACCTGGTCTACATTCAGGCAGCTTAATCACACCCTGCCCATCTGGGAACAACAACCTAAGTGTCTGTTCTCTGGGGTCACAGAGCTGAGATGAGAAAAGAAATTGACTGGCTCTCTGTGTACTGGGAGGGCCAGGCAGGAGGAATTCACAGATCAACATGAACAAGGTCTTGCTCCTCTAAAGGTCATAAGTCAGCTAAGTATAGACTGTCACCAAGTCACTCCTATATATACACCACGCCTGCTCCAGCCAGCTGTCGGCCTCCCTCAGACTGGAGCGGAGTAATGTCCCAGCCACCCAGGTCCTGGAGCCTAGCACAGTGTCACTTCTGAGCCATGCTAAGGAGCAAGGTCTCTGGGTGTCAGCTGCCTCCATTCCTCCTCTAGTTCCCATATTTCTGACTTTCCCACCTCTCCCAGGTGCCCTTCTTGCTCCTCGTGATGATCCTTCTCCCAGGTCTGAATGAATCTCAATGAAAGCGCAAGGAAGTGCCCCACTGGGAGGGCAGGCTAGACCGTTCTTACCCATACCTAGGCTGCCCCATCTCCCTACCTTGACCAACCCAGTCTCCAAGGTTCTTAAATCTCAACACCTCCCCTCCAGTTACTCTCATCTACTAAGCCAGAGCGGCTGGCTAGCCACCTGTGCTCTGTGAACTATTTCCTCCACCTTCCTTCCTCCTGCCCCTAGGATATCTCCTCTCTCCCATCCAACTCCCAAAGCCTAACACCCACCTGGTGAAGCCATGAGTCTGTGTCAAGATGCTCTTTTGCCATGGATTCTTCCTCCCTTCCCCTACTTGAGTGAGGGCTGCCATTTTTTCCCCTAGCTTTGGAGCTGCAGGAAAACAAAGACCCCATCTTCCTCCGCTTCACCCCAAACCTTCCAGCACTGGGCTCCTGACCCTCTGAGACTGACCTCTAACCCCTTCTCCTTGCAGAGAGAGACTCTCGCGAGCATGAGGAACCCACCACATCGGAGATGGCTGAGGAGACTTACTCGCCCAAGATCTTCCGCCCCAAGCACACCCGCATCTCCGAGCTGAAAGCCGAGGCCGTGAAGAAGGACCGCAGGAAGAAGCTGACCCAGTCCAAGTTTGTGGGGGGCGCTGAGAACACTGCCCACCCCCGGGTCATCACTGCACCTGAGATGAGACAGGAATCGGAGCAGGTGAGTCTCGGAGATGTTGGCTACTGCTCTGACATCTGACCTTTCCCCCTCATTCACTTGGATACTTGTGGCAGCAGGAGATCCCCAGGCCAGACCCTGAGGAGAACCTACTTCAGAGGATAATTGTCAGAGCTTACCAAGGGCTTTGTCCAAGTAAGCAGGAATAGAGGTAGGATTCATTCAAAGAAAGGATCGGTCAGTCCAGTGACCCCCATAACAAGTGTGTGAACTGCCCTAGAGCTGTGTCCAGTCCTAGGAAGAGGCTGAACAGCTCCCAAAGTTTCTGAAGACCAAAGCCTCTCCTGTACAATGAGTCAGTAAGGCAGAAAAGCTGAGGTGGCTCTCCTGGAAAACTTAAAGAAAAATGTGGGCTATGTCTGGCCACATTGGGGCTTGCTCCATTGCTCTGGGTGGTATATCTGCACATCTGGGTGGTTTCTTACCTGTCATCATCCCTCCTGTCCACCAGGGCCCGTGCCGCAGACACATGGAGGCTTCTCTGCAGGAGCTCAAAGCCAGCCCACGTATGGTGCCCCGCGCTGTGTACCTGCCCAACTGTGACCGCAAAGGATTCTACAAGAGAAAGCAGGTATGGAACGGCCCCACACCACGTTTTCAGGCACAGATAGATCCTGACACCTGCCAGAGAAATCTCCTTCAGGTTCAAGTCCCTGACTGGAGATCTCCACCAACAACTTAGGATTTCCCAAACTCAAAGTATCTATTCACAAGGTACAATTGTGATTTTTCCTCATTCCCTCCCAGGTTTTATGATTCCAACTTGCCTACATGGATTCACTGAAACATTGCATCTTATCGTGTTTGTGCTACACACACACACACACACACACACACACACAAGCATGCGACTTTAAAAACGTCTTATCTCCTGACACTATCTGTTATCATTTCATTTCCAATGACAGCCAGGCTCAATTTGGGGCAAGATCTATGACTGATCTCTGGTTCCCAAAATTCCAAGGGTCTCAGAAGCCCCTCTGTCATGCTCAAGTTTCTGATTGGCAGGTCTGAGGGTTTTAATTTCTAACAAGCTCCCCAGGGACCCCGTTGTTGCTTCAAGGGGATTCCTTACTGGTATTGATATTAGTCCTTGTTAAGGGCCAGATGGCCTTGGGGCACAGTCAGGCTCCACCTCTTTTAGCTGTGTCTCCTCCCTCCAGTTCCTACACATCTCTGTGCCTTCAGTTCCTCGTGTAAAATGAGGCCACACTACCCTCACCTGGGAGGAGTAAGTGATTCATTTTTGTTAAAAACACTGAGAGCAGCTCCTGCCACGTGGTCAGGGTAAGCAGTATCTGGCACATAGAAAGCCACACACATGCTTTGACTGTCCCAATGCCATGGCTTCAAGATCATGTCCCGGTCTCAAGAGTCTTGGAGAATATTACATCGGAGGACCCCAAATGGGTAACTTTAAACAAATAGTTAATTTTTAAAACAAGATTACAGAGTTTACCCAAGGGTAGATTGCCCGAATTAGCCTTGCTCTCTAGGCTCTCCCATACAATCAGTATTCTTTCTAGAGTTAGCTAATGACCCTGCTCATCTTGGGATGGGGAAGAGAGAGGGCAGACAGGAGCAGGACCTTGGGTAGTGGTGTGTCACTGATGGTCCACCTCCTCCCCCAGTGCAAGCCTTCCCGTGGCCGCAAACGTGGCATCTGCTGGTGCGTGGACAAGTACGGCATGAAGCTGCCAGGCATGGAGTACGTCGACGGGGACTTTCAGTGTCACACCTTTGACAGCAGCAACGTGGAGTGACGCGCCCTTCCCCCTGCTTCCCCCTCCCGCCCCCAGCCCCAACTCCAGCCAGCGCCTTCCTCCTCCCCAGGACGCCACTCATTTCATCTCATTTAAGGGAAAAAAACATATATTATTATTATTATTATTATATATTTGAGGAAACTGAGGACCTCGGAATCTCCAGCAAGGGCTCAACTTTAGAAATGGCAACAACAGAGATGCAAAAAGATAGTGACCCCTGCCCCCTTCAAAAAAGAGGGGGGGCGGGGGTTCTTTTTGAGGCAAATTGAAAGAACAGAGAATGGAAAAGAGAAAGAAAAAGTGAGAGAAAGGGGAAACGCATTGGTGAGGGAAAGGTATCGGTGTAGAAGAGGAAACAGTGATGGATAGAGTTAAGGAAAGAAGAGAGGAACGTGGGCAGGAAAGAAAGGGGACCAGGATCAGGACTGGTCAGGACCGGCCCTGGCTGGCAGTAGGAAGAGGCTGGGGCACTGAAGGTGTGGCCCAAGGTGTGACATTCAATGTCACCTTGGATTTATTTTTTGTCCCCAAGTTAATTGGTCTATGGGGGAGAAAGGAAAAAGACAAAATATGCCAGGACCCTTCTAGGGTTTTCTATTCCAGCCAGCAAAGTGGATGCCTTCCCCTTCTCCCTCCTCTCCTCTCACCCAAGTGGAGTGTTGTCTCCCCTCCAGATTTGTAAACACTGAGAAGCATTCCATTCCTCTAAAACCAAAGTAGATTCATAATTGGATGATTCTAAATAGGTTTCCCTAGGCAGATACTTAAATATGTGTGCATCTTTCACTCCTCCTGCAGGAGTTTAGAAATCAAAATGTACCTCCCTATCGGAGAGACTTGTTCTTCTGGGGTGACAAGAAATGGGCTGAGGCATGTATTTTCAGCTCCTGCTTTTACCCAGTTCACAGCTAGCACTGCAGCCTCTGTGGCGGAGGATAGGCTGGAACAAAGAAAAGAAAAAAACAAACAAAAAAAAAGATGGCCTTGTATTTATCAACAAGCCTTCATATAGTCATATATAGGCATATAAATCTACTTTCTACTTTTTTTTCTTCCTTTCTTGCAAAGGCTTGCATTACCTCTTCCAAGTAGTTTCTAAGGAGCATTGAGATGCTTCCTCATTCTGGGAAAACCAGGAAAATCCATAGTGTCCTAATAAAAACCCATACCAACCAGCTTTTCTGCCTCTAGGCACGGGCTTCCCCTGAGCTGTAAACCCAGCTCTTTGTGAGTCTTTTCATGATTCCCTACCTGCTTCCTGTGTACCCAGCCAGGCCAGGTAGCTGCCACCACCTGATAATGTGTGTCCTACACTCCCAGCTCATCCCATGTTCAGTCTTCAAGCCCTCAGGAAATAACTCTCTGGCCACCATACCAAACAAGCCCAACAGGTCCAAGTCCAAACCACTGGTCCTGCCCCAGCGTTTCCCTTTCGTCTGGACAGACCTTCAATGTGAAATCCTCTCTCGATCTCCAGGCTGGCAGAGCAGGAGAGAAATGGACAAGAGGGATGGAGGTGCTAGGGTAAAGGTTTCAGCAGAAGAGAACAGCAGATGGAGCAGAGGGACAGAAAACTAGAGGAACAGAAAAGCAAGAGAAAGAGGGAAAAGCCAATAGAAACCTTGCCTTTCTGGCCTAAGAAGCCCCTTTGAGATTCAAGAGGAAGGAGAGAGAAACATGGAGAAGTAGGTTAAAGGATAGAAATTAGCTCCATCCAGGCCATAGAACCAGGGAAGGTGGATAATTTGAGGTGGCTTCTAGACTTGAGGAGGTGGGTAGGAACGAGGATCAGTAAATCAGCCAAGCATTTGAAGGACAAAATAATGTTTCTAATGCCCTATCCTCAGCCCACCATGAAAGGCTGAAGCCAGAGAGTTTTGCAAGCTCTCCTTGGTCTACTGCAACCAGTCCCCACCTCCTCCCTGAGGTGAAAGAGGAATGCAAAGCTTAGGACAACCTGGGAATGGAAGCTTCATGGGGGCTGTCATTGGACAGCCAGATTCTGATCCAAGAACAATCCTCTCCACTAACTTGCTCAACCGATGGGCATCCTTGGGACTGTCCTGTAAGACTGAAGATAGGCCGCCACCAGAGGGGACTTGGACGCTGGTAAAGAAGGCCCTTAGTTGCTGTGGACACAGCTCTCTCTGCTCTCTCCTGATGGCTTGGCACAGTAGAGTCCACCTCCAACATCAAACATGGAGGACCATGAAGAGTGATGGCGAAGAAACCAATTGTATGTCAATTCACAAGAGCCTGCAACATGATGGCTGTCGCCTCTTGTTCTCCCAGACAGGACAGTTGGCTGGGGATGGAAGTGGTGATCGGTCTCCACAGTGAGATGAAGAGCTTTATAGGGCTGGCAGCTGTGAGGACCTACTGAACTTCGGGGGTTGGCACGTGCCATCTCTCTACACAACTGTCCCCAAGCTCCTGACTCAACACTTCCCTATACCTTAGACCAGTACCCTAAACCTCTCTTCATGTTCCCCTTCTTTCTTCTTTTTGCTTTGGATCTTCAGCAGTCATCTAACTGGGATCTGCCAAGTAGATACTGGGGTGCTATTCCCCCTAAGAAAAGACTGAGCCAAGAATTGCCTTCCCTGCCTCTCCCAGGCCCTTGACCTGATTCCGGACAGGGGCGCACTCTTTGCCCCGATGTTTGCTCGTGCTTGAAGGGGCCTCTGCCCATTACATAGGCTCTTTGCTCTCAGCCACAGACAGAGTGAACTAGTTTACTCCATTGCCAGACACTTTGGGCTTCCCAAATTCAGCCTCCTAACCCACACCTGTGGTGAGTCTGTCCCTAGCTTGCAGGGCTTGTGGCTGGGACAGCGGACCTCTCCCTAGAGGAAGCTGGACCTTTCAGGAGCCGATGGAAATGAATCTGCCCGATGGGAGGTCTAGCTGAGCTCAGCAAGCCACTGAGAGAGAACAGGGTGGGCCAACAGGTGTGCCGTGGTGAACCGTGTCTTGAGTTGGAAGCTCCCTGATGTCAGGTAGGCCTTTGGCCCAATATCTGTTCCTTGGGAAGCTCTGGACTCTGTTATCTATGGCCTAAGATGTAGGTGCTCCCCAAGTCTGTCCTCACAGAAAGGCCTCTTCCATCCTCATAGGACTCATGCCTCAGAGCAGTGGAAATGATACCTCTGTCCTTCCCCCATGACTGCCAGGTAACCAGAGGGGGAGGGACTATTCAGGACTGAATCTCCTTACCCAGCCTACCTGGACCCAGCTGGCAAAGCAGGGCACCTTGTGAGAAGGAGACTCATATTTCTTTTGACCGCCAGGCCTAGACACACAGGCCGGGGACACAGGCCCTGCATGGGGGAGCCCAGAAGGTCCCTCTGTAGTCGCTCCTCTTCTCCCTCACCCTTTCTTTCCGTCACCACCTCTGTTACCATGGTAACCTCCTCTAAGGGAGGCAAGCCTCAACCATCCTTCTCCCTCCACCCAGCTTCTTAGCAGTGACAAGCCCCCAACCGGGGCCGCACCCCCCTCCACTCATCGACTCAGACCCCCTAGAGAGCTCCAGTTGAGAATGGGAACCTGAGACAGGAGTGGGCCATGGAGAGGAAACCTCGAGTCTTGGAGAGGCACTTTCTGGCTCCCAAAGGAAAGGAGGCTAAGCCTTGGAAGGGACCCCCAGTATTGATGGGATAAAGGAACGGGGTTTGACCAGCCAGCAACCTAGGTGTTGTACTGTCCTTATTTGAAAAAGAAAAAAAAAAACCACTAAAGTGCAAGAATTATTCTGCACTGTTTCTCCACCTCTTTTTCCTTTCCTCTTTTTGATTTTTTTTTTGTTTCTTTTGTAAAACATACTATCTTGGTTTCCTCATGGAGTATATAGTGTTTCCACGTCACAGACTCCGGCCTTCTCACCTTCAGTCCTTCTAGGTGGGGAAAAGGAAGGTGAAGGGCCAGAGGTGGGAGGGGTCCTCAGCCCCTTACACCCACTCACCCCACTTCTCTGGTACCCTGCTCACCAGCCTCAGCTCCATCTCCACCACCACCACCGTCACACACTAGCCCGTCACATGGATAGCACAGTTGTCAGACAAGATTCCTTCAGATTCCGAGTTGCCTACCAGTTGTTTTTGGTTTTTAGGTTTGGTTTTTTTGTTTTTTGTTTTGTTTTGTTTTTTGGTTTGTTTAAGACAGTAATAACCACAGCACATATTACTGTAGTTCCTTATAGTGTTACATACAGGCATACCGTAGCTCTGTTTTCTTCTCTCTTTTTTGTTTCCAACTTAAAGAAAAATAAATACTCATGATTGTTACTGGTGGGGGAAAAAAAAGAAAAGAATGAGAAAAGTGATAATAAAACCAACAAACAATCCATTTGTGAAAGAAAAAAAATGCAAGAACAAGAATCGCATGAATGCGGACGAGTTTGGCTCCTGTTTAGCATTTTGTACTTAAGGAAATAAAAAAGAAAGAAAAAAAAACCAAACCAGAGGATCTGACGTTTTATTAAAGAGTGAAGATTTGCTGTATACTATTTATTCAACTTATAATTTATGTTACTCCTTGATCTTTGTCTTTTGTCATGACAAGGCATTTATTTAATAAAGTTCTGCATTCAGTTAGCCTGCGTTGGCTTCCTCCAGGGGCTCAGGGAAGCAGGCAGTGGGAGAGGCAGATGGGTCTCTCTTCAGTTCTCCAACAAGAGCAGAGAGCACTAGGAGAAAGAACTCAGGCCCGGATACATCCTCCAGAGAGGACCCTGAGTGGAAAAAGGCTCCTCACAGATGAGCCCTCTGCCCAGAACCTGAGCATCCCTTCCCTCCTTGACCTCCCTGAGCCCCACTGCGGGTACTGACCACAGAGCAAACGCAGCACAGCCTTCAGAAAATGAGATGCGTGTCCAGCTCACGGCTGGGGCAACTGCTATTGGTCTCCGTCTGAAGTAGTCTTAATCTGCCCTTAAAATGTCTCCTCTCAGGCGGGTGCCAGTGACTCATGCCTGTAATCCTAGCTACTCAAGAGGCTGAGATTTGAGGATCGAGGTTCAAAGCCACCCTTAGCAGGGAAAGTCTTTATCTACCAAAAAAAAAAAAAATCCAGAA